ATCAGGGGCTCTGACAGAAATATAATAACACTATTGCTATTATACTGGGACCACGAATATGCACAATGATAAAAATTACATCATATACTAATAATAAAAGCAACCCTAACCCCAGAATAACACTCTGATAAAATAATAATTTATTCTCAAATAGCAGTCTGGTACAAGAGGCATGCCAGTTCACAGACAAGATCAAGTCGTTACAGAAGATACAGTCTTCGTTGTAGTAGGTTACTCAGTTAGCTTGATAATTTGCAAAATACATTGGTCATAGAATCATGGGGCATAACACTTCCAACATGGAAACGTACGTAATACCAGCATGACTTGCAGAAGACTGTTAACCTCTACTTTCCGGTTAAAAAATTGAGTTCATGGTTTATGGGTAATTCAACATTAGCACATTTATCTTTACTATTATGATAATATACCTAATTCCAAAATTGTAGGCTTGTCATGATGTGACTAATCTATAAGATCTCACGTGGAAATTACATCGCGGTCCACAGTGACTCGTCGCATTGTGACAATGAGCAATATGTTTAGTACTTCTGAGTAACATATTTGGACTAGGAAGAGAGTAATATATTGGATACAACAAGCAGGGGGCTACATAGAGTGGCTACGTCTGCATGGCTGAGCCAACCTACTGTTCCCTCGTTCACCATTTTCGACCTTCTCTATATGTTACATGTTGAGTGTAAATCTCAGTAATTATATGCTTAGCTTCGATTGCACATAATATGTACGCCTTCAAGATTTGCCACACACAAAGGATGATCAAAGCCTAACTCCCCCTGACAATGTATATTTTGCTGTTCGAGTAAGACATTGCTAATCTGGGAGGCTACTGGCCTTCTGGTGTTAACCAGAAAAAAAGCTGGTGTTATTTACACTGGTAACATGAGTACCGACGGCGAATAACGTGTCAGTGTAGCTAAAGCTGTTACGCGATGGGCCAAACACTCGGCTACATGACATGGCAAAGGAAATTTTCTTCTAAATAAAAAAGGGGCGCAATACCACTGGATATTGAAGGTCATGATTCCAAAGCAGTATGAAACTGTCACTGTTTCAAGTAGTTTCGTGTGGCTGTTCTGATTGTCGGGAAGTGGACGACAGTAAGAAAACAAAAGAAATAAATAAAAAAGCCACAAACAGTGTTCTTTTGGTTGATAAGTCTTTGATAAACTTCCATTCTGAGTCACATACTAGACTTAACTCTGGTATGGCGATATGAGGCTTGATTTCACCGAATATCACCATAGGTAATTTGCTGGAATCGAACGATCTCAATCCAAAAATTAGACACGCGCATGATTTGGGAAGGGTTAGGACATTTATCAGTATAATTTTACCGGATAACTTTATAGTTCACATCAAAAATCTGATAATAGGTAAGAGGACAAAAGAAAATAGTAAAGCTCGACACATGAACTCCTTAATGTAATTCCAGAGCTGGAGAGACAACAAATTCTTCTGTTAACTAGCGCTCAAAGCCAAAATATCATATATATATATGTTTATATAAATATATATAATACACCCGTTGTTTCTCACGGACAACAAAAGAGAAGTAGCAAAGAGGATGACAGGAGAAAGAAGACTAGCTGTACTTTTCATTTCAGGCAGTTGTATGGCTCAAATTATACAGTACTTAGTGTTGCGAAGGGACAGGAATTGAAAAAGTAACAAGTGATAGACATACACATACAAGTACGCACAAGCTTCATAAGCGTAGAAGTACAAGGGCATAAAAAACATTTCCAATGAAAAGAATAAAGTCATTTCGACGGTTAAAACGACTCAATAGTTACATGCTGTCAGAGTAATTAAGATCTGTTCAAAAGCTAGGGTGAACCATATGTGTATTGGTACTAAGCACTACAGGACTCAGGAGATTATTTCATCAAGATTTACTGATATTTCTCTCTCGCTTATTAAATATACCCAGGTTCACACTTAAAGGCATCGATGATGCACCAATACTATGTACGGAAAACCGATAATAGAAAGTTTCTTCAACATCCACTTCAATCATTCGAATAAATCTAAATTACATCATGGTTTTCGAACCTTCTCACTATGACCTGTCCCAACCAAAAACTCGATAAAGGAAGTTTCTTCTGTATCCCTTTTTTCAAAATGGTACCCAGCAGGAAACTTCCAGAAGCCAGAATCGTAAGGCTCGGTCGGTTTCCAGCGCGAAACACGACCCGACCTCCAAAGTCGTCCTCAACCCTCCGGAATCCCACAGTATGCCTGATGCGACTGTGGTCACTACTCCAAACAGCGTCGACGATTGAGCACAGGTCGTAAGTAAAAAACGACAAAACGACGTAAAAGGGAGTCGTGCCCCTATCAAAGTAGTCGAGAAACTAAAGACTGACCACAGCGACAGATCAGTCATTTTTTATAAAATCAAGGAAAGTGAAAGCTGAGAACTGAAAGCTCGTTTTGAGCATGAAATTGTGTTGGTAAAACAGCTACTCAACCAAGTTATGCCCCAAAACATCTCTGGAGTCACCTTGCTAAAGGTGTATAGACTAGATAGCCTGGCGAATTCGAAGTCTAATCAGTCTAGACTGCTCAAAGTAGTTTTCAAATCCCCAAACGAACGCTACTTAATCTTACAAAACGGGCACAAATTAAAGAGTTCAGGAGTTTTCCCCCGTAAGTAATTACCGCTGGCGGACCGTGTAAAAAGACAGGAAGCCGAATAAGAACTACAGCTCAGATTAGACTCTGGCGAAAAGGACTTGAAAATTGTAAACTTTCGGGTTGTGAGGCTTCGACAGCGGATGATGCCGAAGCCACTCTGTGTGAAGCTTGAGGCCACTTAAATAGGCTTCGGATCTGTTACACCAATGCCCGGAGCTTGCTCAATAAGCTATCGGAACTAGGTGTACAGATTGACTCTACTAAGCCAGACATAATAGCAGTCACAGAAACTTGGCTGACGCCGTCTATACGTCTGTACGTAAATGACGTAAATGTACGTAAATGACCTTGGTTGAAGCTCCATCCGTCGACACTTTCCAAAGAAAACTGGATCAATTGAGAGACCAAAATTGCCAGGACTAACACAGGCCATCAAGCCTCCTGTCCTTTCCAAACTGAAACTGAAGGTTATCAGTGCCAAAGAGAGCAAAAAATAAAACATATTAACATTTGATTCGTAATGAAAGATACCGAAGGCCAATATAAGATCATCCCGCGTTCTACGATACGACAAAGGGAAAAAGTTTATGTGTTTTAAGCACTAGTTGTCAGAGAGTTTGGATAAACCATTCACTGATTTTATTCTCACACGCTGAACGCGTTCAAGTGAGTTAGTATCTTTAGTTAGACATGCGCCAGCTGCTTGAACTCAATACTATAAGTGTGGCCTTACATAAGTGGCGTAAAAATTCGAAACATCTCGTCAAGGCATGTAGTGCCGCGATTCGTTAACCGTTTACTTCGATAACCGTTATAATTCTAAAGTTAACGGTGCGTAAAATCAGAAGACAAAGGATAGCAGCAACTACAGTTTATTGTCGAATGACTCATGTTCGAAAGCTAACAACACCTGAGCCAATATGAACGAGCGAGTGAGCGGCAAGTGAGAGAGTGAATGAACAGGCGTACAAGCGAAGGAAACGAACGAGGAGCAAGCGAGCAAATAGCAAGCAATTACATAGGCAATTTATAGTCAAATTTAATAAGGGCACAGCAAAACAAAACAAAGGCTGATAATAATATTTGTGTGCGTACATATATGGGGAGGAGTATGAGTCATCGAATGATATTTAAGCAGTCAACATTTCGGCTAGTGTCATGTGCTCTAGTGGTATAGCAGTGCAAAGAATATGCAAATTGTTACTATCCAAATGACGATGTCTGTTAAGTAAGTTATAAAAATGGGCTTAACCAAAATTGGCATGAATTGCTATTTCGAAACCCATGTTGCTCGAGAGTTAACTGATTGTACGATTCTAAGTGGCTTGGTTACTTAGCCTGAAATATCCTTTTGAGTAAATTGACTACTATGATGGTTAGACTGACCAGCATCTTTCAAATCCCTAAAACGTTCAGTAGGGGAAAGAGATATGTTGAGGTTCTGAAATAAAGTCCGCAAAAGGTGACATCATTCGAAGACATAACTATGATAATTAGAAGTATTTGAATTGTAGTATGAACTAGTAATTCCAGGAATAACGCAATTTAATCAAGAAGTATCAGATGAGCCCGAACGAATGTATTGTATTTGGAATTCAAAATTACAACAGTCATCAATACTAAGAAGTCATTGATTTATTTAAACATCACAATAACCCATTAGGGGCCGTTATCTTACCAGGTTTGAGGTTTATGATCAACTGAAGAACCGTTTCCCCAGTCACACGTACAGGTCCTACAACCGGTGTCTCGGTAGTATGATTACGACGAGTACTTTTAACAACAATCGTAGGGTGAACTTCAGTGAATCAGTTTGATATAGTCTCAGCTTCTGCCAGATCCGATTCAGCTAGTATATCTGAATTTTCGTGTAACAATAATGGAGGCGTTCCATCACTACGCTTTGTCCTTCATTTAATGTACAAAAAACCGTTTCGGACAAGTACAGTTACCATATGACAACTGACTTTCGAAAATAGTACGTCATCTAGCTGCGGTGTTTTTACGTATATTCTGGATTTTTCAGTATTTCCACATAAATGATTCGCGTCCCGTTGGAAATAATTAGTCCTGGAATCGCAGTCAGTTTCGTCCGTTTTCTTACGTTGGTGAGTGTATTAATTAGACTCATTATATAAGGTTGAACCTCATATACCATGTTCCATAGACTTTGGGAACTTGCTGTCGGCCTTTTTAATCGTTAAATATTGTAGTTTGAACATTAAGCTCACCCTTTCAAAGTTGGTGAGTAACATATAAAGTTATCTTTCTTGTGCGGAAATGGTTCTGTTTAATTGATTCCCACTTCTATGAAACTGATTTTTTTTATGTATCTCGCCGAAGTGTTTCTCTCGAAAAGCGTAAGTGTCTTGGTGACACATAGGCCATTTCACATTTTTAAAAAATGCAACTCATACTTATGGGTTGACTAATCTGCTTATTGTTGACAAGTTTATAGCCCTTCCCATAGAAACAGTTTCTTGATGAAGGGCCTTTTGAAGGCTGGATCGAAACGTGCTCCGGATATCATTACTCGAAATATGTTAGACAGACGTCTGGTTACACCATTTATTAGATTTCGGGTTAGGTTGTACGTGATATATTCTTGTAGAAACACAGCGAGTTACGGAGTGTCAACGTAGCACCTATGAAGCTCACTAGACTAAAGGCAAGGGAAATATAACATTATAATACAGTAGTTTTTTAATAAGCAGGTTTGTATATAGCTTCTGCGTTATATTCTTTCGACATGGGTTTAAGGGTGTAGTTAAACTAAATAAACTCTAGAGGTAATAGTTAGTTTCCTTCGTATTGTCAGTTTGCCGAATGATTATACTTTCTCACTCCAGAAAGAGGGTTTAAAAATTGATTCTAACTTCTGCTCATATACGTCATTCTATTTGCACTTACCTTCTACGTCTTCTAGATTATCTTGGTGTGGTAGGAGAAAAAAGGATATCTCAGGTCCAAAGTCACTCCTTAGTATTCTATACACTAAAACCAGATCACCTCAATCTTCGCAAAAACATAGTAGGGAGGCCTAATTTCTCAAGCCACTCTTTATACGGTGAACCCCAGAGCTCTTGAATTGCACGGGTGACTACCCTCTGCACGCTTTTCAAGACATTCCAGTCATATTTAAAACATAATGGCTGCCTGACTTTTACATCATCAGCGTAAAGTAACACTGGGGACTCAATCACTTGGCAGTCCATTTACATACAATATGAAAAGTAAGGGACCCAGGACAAAGCCTTACGGTAATCTACCAAGTAATGGTTTCCAGGAAGGGCATTTGGAATTTATTCTTACTTTCTGTCTACGATCTACCAAGAAATCTTTGATCCACTTTAGACGAGTTCCAGTAATTCCTAGGTTCTCCGGCTTCAAGAGAAGTCTATGTTTTGGCTCCTTATCAAATGCTTTGCTGAAGTCTGTGTAGATAACATCCACTGATTTTCCATTATCTAGGGCATCTGTCCATCTCTCTTGCTATGAGATCAAACTCTCATACAACAATTTGATTTTAAATGGATGGAAATAAAATATCAGAGCTTCCTAGTAATTTTGTACATGCAGTATATTATTTTTGACGAGTCATTGATATAAAACTGAAGATAGAGAATAAGATAAAGGGATTGTATAATTGCTCCATCAAAACATTGGTACATATAAAACTGTCAATTCTATGATCTAAATCAATTTATAATAAATGTGACTTGTGCAATACTTAGTACTTAAACCGTAATCTGAAAATTGGCCGTAGTAAAAGTTGTAGTAATGGCGCGATATGGTTTGTCTTTGCATAACCCCAAGAAATGCCACTAATATGTACTTTCGTTATAGATCCTCGCTTTTAATAAGTCCCTAAATATTCACTTCTGTTTGGTTTGGGCACTTATTGTGACAAATCTCATACTATGTCCAAAATATTACTCACAAACTATTTCTTGTGATTAGGTTAACAAAAAAGTCGAAACACTATTAGCTGATAATTACTGCACCGAGAATTTCAATGCAAGGAACAAATATTGCAACTTCATCATTATCTCAAGCATCTCAACCACAATTATGGTCTCCTATCAATCCAATAACTCATCAAAAGACAATGACTCCTGCACAGACTGCTTACAGCACTGATGTTCTGGCTTCCACAGTACCATCATCACAACCACTAGCATCTTATTCACAGCCTAATTCTCAGCCCATTCAAGCAAGTCATATAAGCTCAGAACTACCAGCAGATGGACCTCTTGTGTCTGATTGTTATGCTGCTCTTTTGGGATTGGCTGAAACTTTCAGGACAATGAGCCCTCCTAATATGCGACTTGCGGTTCATTGTCTCAAAGCTATTCTTCAGTTCAAGCTTTCTGTCAATTTAGAAGCTCGCACACATTTACAACTTGGAAGGCTACTGTTTCATTATAGCAAAAGTGATGAACAAACAAAATTTCACTTGGAAAAAGCTCGTACTCTGGGAGCACATCTCAAAGCTAGTGATGATTCAATTAAATTTGAAGCTGCTACATTGTTAGCTGAGTTCTTTGAAAGAAAAGTAAGTGTTTCTTTCATTTGCACTATTAAAAATTCCTAATTCATTTGCTTATGTAAATTATACCATAAGTTTTTGTGCTGTAGATAAAGTTCTATAATGTCAAAAGAAATATGTTTATGACTACTCTTTTGTTTTAAAACAATATTTACGCAGTTTTTATAATCTAATCTCAGTAAAAATGTCAAAAAATATCAGCAAATAGTCTGCTTTATATGCTCAAACACGTCTATATTGAACCAAGAACTTTTAGGTCTTTAAAGTGCCATGTTAATCTTCATCCGTAGGAACAAAGAATATAATTTACGAAACATCGGATTTAGATAATTTTTGATTTATAGGTGAAATAACGTTGTTGATTTCACACCCCGAATCATATTTCTTGAAGTAAAAGTTTTACTCATAAAGTTGAATCTTTGTTACAAAAGCTTTAATTTCACATAACCTTTCTTGCTTCACAATTTTAGGGTAAACGATATGAAGCAACTTGTATTCTAAATGATGCTATCAGATTATCAAATAACAGTCCATATTGGCATTGCCGAATCTTATTGGAATTGGCAGTAAGTGTTAACCGTTGATGTAAAGTTTCCGTAAAACATTTTTTCAGACTACACATGAATTCACTTGCATCTCCTCAATTCGACAAATTTACTCGTTCAATGGATGGAAATTATAAGTATCGTGATAATAATAAGTAAATAAATTAAACAATCTATCATGTACAGGTTTATATACTCAGTTCTGTACCACACCATTTGTATACGAGGGCTAGTGATACTACCCAGCTTCCCAAACTGAATTAGGTTAATTGGGTTTCAAATTTCCTAACTGTTAATTAAACTTCTATTGGTCTAATCAATAAAGTTGTGAATTTCCGTTGACCCAAGTATTTGGAACATTTGATATGTATGTATAACTACCACCTACCTCGACATTCATTGTTGATTGGCTTACGAGCAAGTTTGAAAAAATTTAGGAGCGACCAAGCGAATATGCGGTATCAACCAATGGAATTATTGACTATTGGTCTAAGCTATATTGGTAGGGACATATTGTTTGGTTGTAGTCCTCACAATAACTGAGATCAGTAACTGGAGACTTTCAGTGAACATGACTCAATCGTCCAAAAGGACTAAGTTGCGCCCACTGTTTATGTTCGTCCAGATATTAAGTTCCAGTATTTCTTCATGTATCCTATTTCATTCTGTTTTTTTCTAATCATGTTCTCGATGTTTAGTCTTTCTCATTGTTATTGCTCCCGAAGTTATTTTAACTTGTTTCCTACTTATCTCTTTAGTTTCATTTCTTTGCACTATTGTAGTATGGCAACTGCAATCAACCTACATTTATGCCAGGCCCCACGTTAATTATAACTTCCTGATTGTGGTAATTAAGCAAATACTCAACCGATCTGACTTCAAATGACAACTACAACTAGAAAATTTTACTTATAAATTAAAGTTGGTCGATCATTTATCAAAGATGTTATAAATATTAGACATAAATTTCTTTCAATTTAACTATTTATTAGATCATAATTTTTATTTGTTACTATAGTGTTATTTTTATTGTTATTTTTTTATAGCAAGCTCATATTGCTGAACGAGATGTGAATTCAGCATGTGAAATTTTGGCAATGGGCTCAGAGTATGCACGTTTACATAATTCTGATTATACAAACGGTTTATTCCTATTAAGTAAATGCATGGTCAGTTTTATTATTATTTTCCTGTTTCTTTATTTCTTTTCGGCGGAGAGGTATTTATTTTATTTTATTTGAACGCATAAATATTGGTACAAAGGGGCACCAAATACATATGCGCCACACAAATCTTATTGGATTTGTGTGAGGGCTGTGATACTGCACAGGCGCCCAAACCGAAGCAGGTGGTTTTCTTAGGGGTCCTTTGACCTAAAGGTCTGATCCACAAGGCAGTGGAGCATCGTAAGAAGATATAGTCCCATGGTAGCCGGTGATCAGCGATTGGTTCATACTCCATTTGTTCCCTCAGGATACTGGAGGTCATGTGCACCAATAGTTTTGAGTCAGGGTTTTCCAACTGTCCTAGGTGGACTTTCTGTGTCCACCAACCCGGTTAAAACGCCGGACATTCGCTTTTCATCTTCTCAATTTCGTAAACAACAGTAATGCCACAAGAAGGCAGTGAGCAGGACTTCCCTGGCAGGGGCTATATACGCGTGTCCATATGAGGGCATTTGGAGAGGGAGGGCGGACTCTCCCCACTCTCGACCGTACCAGAGCACTTGGGGGCCAACATAGTAGTTATATAATATTTAATAGTGTTTATCGTTAGAATTTGTCCAATGTACTAAGTGCGAAGAATTTTATGGTTTTACTAAAGTTACTAGATATACCCCTAGACACTTAGAGATTAGCAATAAAGCAACATAAACGTAGGCTAATGAGTACTTTTTTAAAGGAAAGATGTGTTTTACTGACTCCCAGTAGAATAAAATACTATCAGTGTCGTTTCGTAAAAATTCTCCATCATTTTGTTAAATATGTAGTTCGTCATAGAGAAAGATAAGTGTATGTAAAACGTCAATTAGCAGAATACTTATGATTATATAACCAGTTCTTTTATAACAATTTTCTTGTTGATATTTTGTACTTACAGTTACTTTTGGCAAGTAGACAACTCCCGGAAGTTACAGTCACATTAACCAATGTTAGTCGATTGATTGAACAATTCAAAGGAAATATGTATCATCGTGAAGCTTTACGTGTATTTTACCTTGTTCTACATGTTTCATTTTATCTTATTTCTGGTCAAGCGAAATCTGCCCATCCAATATTAAGACAACTACATCAGAGTATTCAACAATTTGCTGCTATGGATGAAGGTAATTTGTGTCCTTAATTAAGATTATTTGTTTAACTAGAAATACCATAGAAGTTTTGACTACAAGTGTTACTTACTTACCAAGTACTGATGTTATATACTTAGCTCCTAGTTAAATTGTATGAGGGGTAGTAAGTAGATTTAAAATCTATTACCTGCTAATTGAAAAACCAAGAGCTTTAATCATCAGACCAGGGCTAGTAACGGTGAATTTAACACAGGATGAGCATAAGTATTAATTGCCGTTATTTTGTGATATTTCCTACTATAGTTTATTTGATGGTTGTAATATCACTACTTAGTGTAGATACTATCATATCCTCCTTCTCCTCTTCAATACATGTTCCTGTTCACTGTCTAGTCTGTAATCAAGTTTTCATAACTATGCTTCAGTAAATATTATAGCTCAAACTGACAAAAAGTTAATCGAACTCATGTCACTTGTCTTCAAATTATTGTTGTCAGTTAATAAACCGATGAGCGATTAATCCTGATGTTTGACGCAAGATTTCAGTTAAAAATGACAAACAGATTGATTAGACCATGAACCTTAATCTACGAAGATAGTTGAGATATGTGTCACACTTGACCAACCACCCTTTATCCCAACATGTAACTCTTGTTAACATTAGTAAGCTATAAATACCAGTGGCGATCAGACAAATGTATGGCAAAAACGCTGTAAGGGAACAAAAAGTTATGGAATAGTATTGAACTAAAGGATGAATGGGTTTGAATCACAGCGACCGATTTATAGCCATATCATATAAGGTCTTCAACCATTGATCACGATTATTGCACACGCCACAATCTGATAGAGTATATGTATCAATATGGGTCAAACCAGCAGTCGCTGACTTAACAGACTGAAATCGCTTCTAAGTTTGGTTGACCCTAACTTTCTCCTAGCTCAATCCTACTTTAACTAACATTGCACAATGAGGTAGGTGGCAGTTTGAAACCTTTAACTTGTTTTTCAGCGACCTTAACCAATTGAGACTCTCAGCCTTATCAACCAGCTAGTATCACTAAAACTCACACGAATTGTGTGGCCTCAAGCCGAACATAATGAACATATCTTTTCTATTCCATTTTTGTGTTTGTTGAAAAGTATTCACATACGAAATTGATCAAGTTATAACTCGATAATTCAACTGTTTAGCTTTCAACTGTTATAAAATCTGTTCCGGTTTGTTTAGGTTTAGCGTCGGACGCCGATTTGTTCTCAATTATTGGAGTTGTATTAGTTCGTCTAGGTATTTATTTTACCTGTCAACTTCTACTTTGATATCATCTTCAAAAATAATATCTCTTCATTTTAGTTTTCTTAACACAAATGTACTATCAGTATAGCGATTTGTGGAGGTTGTAGTATTTTAACAGTTGAATTCACGGGTCAGTCTAAGCTAGACCACCATGGAAACCTGGAAGCACTGAACATTTTATTTATTTATCTATTTGAACACATAAATATTTGTACAAGGAAGCACCAGATATATATGCACCACACAAATCAAATGAGATTTGTGTGAGGGCTACGATACTGCCCAGGTGCCCAAACCGAAGCAGGTGATTTTCTTAGGGGACCACACCCGAAGCCTTTGACCTAAAGATCTGATCCACAAGGCAGTGGAACATTGTGAGGTGATGCAATCCCATGATAGCCGGTGACCAACAATAGGTTCATACTCCATTTGTTCCTTCAGGATACTGGGGCCTATGTGCACCAATGGTTTGGAATCAGGGTTTTTCAACTTCCCTAGGTGGACTTTCTGTGTCTACCAACCGGGTTAAAGTGCCGGATATTTGCTTTTCGTCATTTCAATTTCATAAACAACAGTAATGCTACGAGAAGGCAGTGAGCAGGACTTCCCTGGAAGAGGCTATATACGCCTGGCCGTGTGAGAGCATTTGTAGAGGGAGAGCTTACTCTCCCCACTCTCGGCCGTACCAAGGCATTTGGGGGCACTGAACAAATGTACTAGCATACGTCCTACACCCTTTTTTAGCACACATTTTAAAATTATCATTTGAGTTATTTATTCGTAATTCATTCTGTTAATACAAAGTTGTATCAGGTTACTACATTGGAATTCTAAACTTGGTTACATATATATTATATATTGAGGCGTATTAATTATTGATCAATTCAGCATAATTCTTGTCTGCTAACCTTGACATATTATCATCATAATAAAAAATAATAGTTATGTAGAGTGAAATGAATAAAAGAAGATTGTTCACTAAATGGATGTTAATCATCATTAAAATTGTGGTAATATTATTATGTGGCGCTTGATTCGTTGGACAAGACAAGAGTGCGTTTAAGGAGTTTATTAACATCTTCGAGACTCAGTGCATAAGAACCTCAGGCAGACTAAGGGCATGCAATTACCTCTTAATTGTTCCATTTCATCAGTATGGTTAAGTAAGTTTTACCAATATCAATATTCGCCTTCACCATTTCCATCAATGACATCATCGAAACAGATCTGGAGGAAGTACATGGTCATGTGATTCGGTTATCTAGAGAAAGACCCTTCAAACTTGAAGCCACAGATAACACTGTCCTACCGTGCAATAATACATAAACTATCCAAGTCGTACTTGATCAGTTAGTATTTAGTACCTGTAGGTGCAACATTTACTTCACACCTAAAGGTCAAATAATTCGGCAAGACTGGTTGGGGTCCTAGATTTAGTGCAATTCATTGGCTTACTTACTTACGCCTGTTACCCCTCGTCGGGGAACATAGGCCGCTCACCAGCATTCTCCATCCAACTCTGTCCTGAGCCTTCCTTTCCAGTTCTTTCCAGTTATTCATCCTTTTCATATCTGCTTCTATTTCCCGGCGTAATGTGTTCTTTGGCCTTCCTCTTTTCCGCTTCCCTTCCGGATTCCAAGTTAGAGCTTGCCTTGTAATGAACATTGGTGATTTCTTTAATGTATGTCCGATCCACTTCCAACGTCTTTTCCTAATTTCCTCTTCAGTCGGAAGCTGGTTTGTCCTCTCCCATAAAACGCTGTTGTTGATAGTATCCGGTCAATGGATGTTGAGTATTTTGCTTGAGATATTATTGTACATGACTCGGAATAGAAGTCAGCGCTTATCTTGTTGTAGTTTTGTTTTACATATTTCATAAAGTGTTAGGAGCTATCTTAACTGAAAGAATTATTCCCGGTAACATTCCTAATTTAATTATATCTCCTGTTATATGCTATTGTTCTTTTCTTTTGTTTCCTCATAATATTTCCTTTTTATTTGTGTTCCCCACACTTCTTTTATTTCCCAGTTGTACCAAAATTCATGTTTGTTTGTTTGTTTATTGGCTATTTTATTTCAATTTAACAGCTGATACTACATCAACTAATGAAATTGAACGATTTCATTGGATGCCTCGTGAACATATGGTTATACTAGTTTATCTTGTTACAGTGATGCAATCAATGCAAGCTGGAATGTTGGATAGAGCTAAACGATCAGCTGAAAAAGCATTAATACAAATTGAAAAATTATCTGTATTCGATACTAGTCCATTACTTACTGTGTTTCATTTAAGTTTATTAGAACATACTGCTATGGGTCGTTTAGTAATGGGTGTACAAACAGCAGCTGCACAAGATATTGGTCAAGCATATCGAATATGTCAAGCGAATCCAGCATTAATGTATAAACGTCTCCCACAATTGCATACTTTAATTGGTTTGTATGCTATGTCAATGAATTGTATGAATCAAGCAGAAAATCAGTTTAAGTATGCTTTAAGAGTAAGTTGCATTGGGATGCTTAATGTATTAAATATTTGTCCCCCACGTTTGCCATAGATTGGTCTCAGTTGGGGTACCATTGAAAACTATAGAGTGATAGACAGCTGTTTCGTTCCCACATGGGATTCTCCAGAGGAATGTGTCGAACCCAGAAATTATGGGTCTGAAGGTGAACGCCCAACCATTAGAGCCATTGAGTCAATATTCAATAATGCTGTTTAAACTTTAAGCAATCTGAGATATGGTGACATACCTCTACATGTGTTTTCATATTAATGAGCGATTGGTTGTTTTTCGTATTCCTTTTGTATCCCTCCTTTAGTTATTTGCTTAAGCACTGGAATTTGTTTAATTCGTTTTATGTTCAACATTGAGAACAGTGAATTCATAGTGATTGCTCTATGCGATGTTGACTATCAGGCTGTGTTACTCGAAAGGTATTAATTCGTAGCAATACACTAAAAACTAATTCCTTGTGCTATAACTTCTAACAGAACAGTTAACTGTGATAATTCTTCTGTCTACAACTGACCATGATCTAATTTCTATATCTTCTAAGCGTAGTTGTTACTAAAATCAGGTACCATATAGACCTATATCGCTTTAAAAATATCTCGTAGACAGTAACAGATGTTTCCGACTATATTGATACTGAACTCTTACCTTGACGAGCATGTGTATGACTAGATTGTTTTAAATATGTAGCACAAATACATCGCACTTTTTTTTATCACCTCCAACGTCTCATTACACTAACGAAATTTGTCTTTTTCTTATTAAGCTACTTACGAGTAGTAAAATGGTTCGATGAATAAAGCACAATATTTTCATTCTTAAATTCAATGATATCCATATTTATTTATTTAAACACATAAATATTGGTACAAAAGGGGCGCACAAATCTCATTTGATTTGTGTGATGGCTGTGGTACTGCCCAGGTGCTCAAACCGAAGCAGGTGGTTTTCTTAGGGGACCACACCCGGAGCTTTTGACCTAAAGATCTGATCCACAAGGCAGTGGAGCATTGTGAGGTGATGCATTCCCATGGTAGCCGGTGACCAACAATAGGTTCATACTCCATTTGTTCCTTCAGGATTCTGGAGCCCACGTGCACTATTGGTTTGGAATCAGGGTTTTTCAACTTCCCTAGGTGGACTTTCTGTGTCCATCAACCCGGTTAAAGCGCCGAGCATTCGCTTTAGTTAACAATGAGCTTAACTCATAATATACCATTGCCTATCTGATTTGTCGGGATTGAAAAAGAGATATTTTTTCTCGTTTTGAAGTAATGAAAAGAACCGTTGTACTTGTGATCAAGATTATAAAGTCTTAAGTTATTCATGAATTAAAATTACTATTGTAGTGAACAAAACACGGGTGGGGACAATCGAATGTATTTAAGCATAAATTACAGACTACCTCACTAAATTCTGATACCAAACAATGAACAGTTAATTTGCAAAATAACAATCGATTGTCTCGATCTTTACTATTCCTTCTGTAAATATCAATCTATCTTCTCTGATTTCATTGTTCATGCATTTTCGTACCGATTGTGCTTCATTCCTGTTCTCTCCCTATCGATCTTCTGCCAAAATACATTCTATGTCTGACCATCACGTTATACTACTCATATGGATATAAGTAGACCACACTATACTGACGTACACTAACATATTCGTTTTTCAAATCCCATCAGCTTAAAGCAGTAAAATGATACAACTATGTGGTGCTTGATAGTTTTCAATGTTTTTTCGATCTCAAATCAGTCAGTGATATATTCTCCAAGTTACTAATCCATTTTAAATGTTTTCGTAACTTGATTTTTTTGCTTGATCACCTGATGTATCATGCATTCGGTTCAATTTTTTTTTGTAATAGCTATTTGTAATATAATGAGTGTCATTTAAAATCTTCAAGTCCATTTTTGTTGCTTCATTTATATATCAACTGAATTCATGCTAAAATGTAATGGATCATTTCAGATTCAATCATTACAATGATTTCTGAAGCAACGATGAACTAAAACTTTTCTTTTTAAACAAACTATTATTCTAAGGTTTGAATAAAGGTTTCAAGTAAGAATTCATTAGAATATATGCATAATGAACAACTCTTTTCAGTTATACAGGATATATTTCGAAAAGTGATTGTCTTGAATAGATAGCATTCACTATTAAATTTATCCAAAGAAAGTTCTTAAGTGACAGTCAGGTTTCTCAATGTTATTTGATTTCTATGGGTTTGATAAACCACTATTAGATGATCAAGTTTACTTATTTCAATGATCTGATTAGAATATATTTACTGAAAAGCTCATGACTGAGGTCTCATTGTAATAGGAATGTGATAGAGCGCTCGCTTCGCATGCGAGATGTCCCGGGTTCGATCCCCGGCACCTCCAGTGCTCTCTGCATACAACCAGTCGGCTTGTGGGGTTGGTCGGTGGCGTGACGGGTGATGATTCGGGGTTTTCCTATTGTCCACCTCACTTCATTCCACTATCCTCACTGACATCGAATAATAAGTCGCCCGTGAGACTACAGGCTCAGAATCGATCACAATGGCGTAGGTGTATACACTCCCTGTCTTCCCTTAAACCTTGAGATTAAAATTGCTTCATAACTTTCTTCTATACTATATCCTTATATACAACTTATCTTTTATATACTACCACTACTAAATTAACTATTTCTATGAATCCGGTGTACATCTTGTTGTGCTAACGAGGTATGGCAACTTGGACCGATGCATAAATATGCCTGGTCCTACGTTGTAGTTGACTGACTGACTGAATAGGAATGTTGGTTTAATAGTTACGTAATTAGAAGCCATTGCTATCACTAAGTAAGTAATTGTGTTATGTTGTTGGTTGTGTGAGGTCAAAGTTACACTTTATAGAAGACAAAAATGTATTGTTGATAGGGTATTTTATATATTTACTGTTTTATGCAAATGGTGTATGTATCGATCGTTGATCACCGGCTAGCGTAGGACTACATCTTCTCACGATGTTCCACTGCCTTGTGGATCAGATCTTTAGGTCAAAGGCTCCGAGTGTGGCCCGCTAAGAAAACCACCTGCTTCGGTTTGGGCATCTGGGCAGTATCACATCCCTCACACAAATCTCATTTGATTTGTGCGGCGCATATATATCTGGTACCCCTCTGTACCACTATTTATGTATTCAAATAAATAATAAATAAATACCGATCACATTAGTTTAAACCATCAATTTTCAACTATTCTCTGTATGCAAATTCTTTGAACCGTATCATCGTTTGGTTCTATTTGGTCCGTCAAATAATCCTATATCTCTCTATGATTAAAAAACCGCGCACACAGATTATATTCTTATCATTTTTGTTATTTCACAGTTTTCTGTTTTACAATTTTTAATTTTCTAGGTGGATAGTATATTTTAACTTTTCTTTTAAATATCATTTAGCTTATTGCTGGACCTCAACAAGTTACAGGTTGTCGAACAACTAATTCAAATGATAAAAATCTTTTAAGTTTAACTAATTGTAACCGAGCATCATGTCAACCAGATGGACCACGTGATTCTTTATCAGTATTAATTTGTCTTAATTTAGCTTTAGTACATATTCGTAAAGGTAACACAGTTGAATGTGAAGTAAGTATTTATTAATTATCTTCTTTAATTTATTCATTCATTTCAATAGTAATTATAATTAAATCCTTTAAGTTATAGGTTTTAATTTTGATTATTTTAAATTGTATTTTGCGTAGTTGAAATCATGATTCAATTGAAGCTAGATCACCATGGGAAACCTGGAAGCACTGGACCGCCGTTTCGTCCTATTATGGGACTCCTCAGCAGTACGCATCCACAATCCTGCACTCACGAGATTCGAACCCAATATCTACCAGTCTTGCGCCATAGCACTTAACCGATAGACCACTGAGCTGGACGGCATCCAACGGTGTTAATGTCTAACTTCAACCAATCCACGATTTTGAGCAACTACTGAGGAGTCCCATAATAAGACGAAACGGCCATCCAGTGCTTTCAGGTCTTCCATGGTGGTGTAGCTTCAATTGACTCATGATTTCAACCATGAAAATACTAAATTCTTCATTAAACCTCTTCTGATGTGTTTTAAATTGATCAAAATGAGTTAAAATACACAAAAAATGTTGAATTGTGTTGAGGATGTTAGATCGTTAAATTGGCTGTCAGTTCCCCCCAAATTGAGCGAATGTATTGAAATGTATCTGATTTGTTCAAGATTGATCGGGATACCACTTGAGAAATTCTCTGTATATTCAGTTTGAAAGTTAAACATACAATATATGGATTATATTTTTTAGTTTAATAAACAAACCTCACAGTTATTCCACGAACTACTGATTATATGGTTTACTCTCATCATTCATGCTGTCAGACGATTAATTGGGCATTTAAAGTTAAACAACTCTTGGTCCTCATTGGACCTGATACTGAAAATGTGTAACTATCTTTTTGAGTTCAATTGTTCTACATGTATAATGGTTATTATCAGTGAAAAGATTCGTTAGTCACATGATCTTATCAACTGTTTTGATTTCTCATTCATTTTTCTACTTTATAGGCATTATTAAATGAAGTATTTTCATGTGGTATCCATGTACTTGAAGGTTGTTGTTGTCTTCGTGCAGCTGCAGATTATGTAAGAGCTTTTCAAGCATTTTATGAAAATCGATTAACCGATGCAAAATTATTTTTACGTGAAACTGTACGATTAGGAAATGAAGAAGAATTGCATCGTTTATCAGCTTCAGCTTTTATTACTATGGGTCAAATTCATTTAAATGAACAAAATACAGCTGTAAGTTATAGATTTCATGAAGTAATCGATTCATAGTGACATAATATTATGTATGTTTCTATTTATTTATTTATTTATTTATTTATTTATTTATTTAAACACATATTGGAACAAAGGGGCACCAGATATATATGCGCTATACAAAACAATGAGTATGGAAAGAGAAAGGGGTAAGATACATATAAAAAAAGCAGTGGTGAGGGGAACTGAAATGTACAACCAGAAAACTCTTTCAGTTAAGCAAGTTATAACCACTCTTTATGAAGAAAGTAAAAGAAGTTTACAGCAGGATCGCCACTGGCTTCTATTCTGAGCCATATCTGATAAGGTCTCTAGCCACTATGTTGCACCATCTCTCGGACCCCAGCCAGGGAGTTGTGAAGGACCAACAGAAGCTAGCCCTTTGCAGCTTTCTTTCATACAACGACACCATGTCATACACTGACCACCTCTCCGCTTTTTCCAACCAGGCTTTCACTATACATGGATCGATCTCATCACTCACACCACCATCAGCACTTATGTAGCTACCTAGATACACGAACTTCTCAACCACTTCAATCTGCTCACCATCCAGGGTGATCACAGGATTAGAATCCTGCCAGTCTTGTAGGAGTACTTTGCACTTGGAGGGTGCAAAGCACATACCGTACCTGCGGACGCTAATTGCCAACTGATTAAGTGCTTATTGCATGCCTTGGGCATTATCGCACAGTAAGACGATATCATTCGCATACTCAAGGTGGAGAAGTCGTTCTCCAGGCAACATATCCATACCGCCATTACTTACATCCATCAGAGCTGTTTCCAGGATGTCGTCGATGGCAAAGTTGAAAAGGAATGGTGAGATCGGGCAACCCTGTCTAACCCCACTGCTTGAATGGAACAAGGGAGAAAGGTGGTTGTATGCCCTCACTCTGCCATGCTGTGTTCGTATACAGGGCCTTTAAGATGTTAATGAACTTCTCAGATACACTCTTCTTCAATAGACAATCCCAGAAAACAGTCCTGTCCAACGAATCGAAGGCAGCCCTGATATCAAGAAACACTACGATTGTTGGCCTGCGATAAGTATGACGGTGTTCTAACATTTGGCGGAGGGTGAAGATGTGATCAATGCATCCTCGACCAGAACGAAAACCATCCTGCTCCTCGCGAGTCAATCTTTCTCGGGTTTTAAACAACCTAAAAAGATTGAAATGAAATGAAATGATGATTTCTACTGACAATCCTATTCACACTCTTACTAAATGTATGTTATAGCAATATATACTGTTATCATAAATCCAAATTATGTAATATGGCTTGATTGTTATTTTTAATAAGTGCTGTGTTCATGTCAAGGTCTTATCGGTAAAGCACTCGATGTTGTCTGTTTAGTTTGAAAAGAGTTAGACAATTTTCGATATTTCCAAATTACCACAAGTCAACTTCGTTCTTTCATTTGGACAAAAAATTCCACGTAAAAGAACTTATTTATGATAACTCAGTGGTAACATTTAGTTATGACACTAAATAAAGTGGATCCTGTTTTTTTTTTAATATTCATTTTACATTTTTATTGTTTTTAGAATTTCTCTCTTCGAGCTAATAGTCTTTTGTAGTTTGTACCATAGACTAACTCACGATAGTTGTTTCATCCTTGTGTGAGGCTTTTCGGCGAGACTAAACTTTATGGACGACCTTAGAATGGATCTTAAATGACCCTGAGAAATATTAGCTAATCAGAAGACAGTTAGTATACAGTAAAAATATATGATAGAAAACTAAAAAATTAAAGCGGATACTGTTCTTTTACATGGCTCGAAAACTTCTCAAGGTGAGATACAGGTTCAGAAGTTCTAAAATCATAGTGCATACGGTACAGGAACCCATCCATATGGCTCCATACTAGTCGACCTCTGGAGCCATTATAAGGTCTCAAAAATTCTTTTAGCCTCGACCACACAGCTTCAATGTTGTTGGTATGTTGGTATGGTTTAGGGTTAAGGGTGAGACTATAATTTATGGACGACCTTTGAGCGACGCTAGAGTGACCCTGAGAGTGTCAACATAATAACTAAGACTAAATGAGGGTTACAAACCTGTATGAAGAATTCAAATCATGATTTACAGTTCATGGTTAAGGTTAGGAATTATACTTAGGGTTTTCATCACAAACTGACATCAGCTATAATGCCATAACTCTATTTATCCAAATGGATAATTGAATTTCGTGCCAAAATCTTAATCACTTCTCTTGTAGAAGCTGAATTATCACGTCTTCTCTAAAATCCGTTGTGAGCCGACCATACGTAAGCATCAGGTACCAAACTCAGCGCCGTGACCTTGAAAACCAACGAAAGCTTCTGATTGGCTCGTCCATAAAGTTTAGTCTCGCCGGCTTTTCAACAACACTTCTCACCCGTGATCTTATTGGGAATAGAAAACTAAATATTTAAACAATGTATGCTTTTTTTTAAACTATTGACTTGGTATCCAATAGTTTACATTTTTAAGTTCAGTTTGTTTTCGGTATTAGGTACTTTCATCCATTATTTTTGATGATATATCTGTCTCATATGTCAGATTGTTAAACTCTATATGTCCTAGTTGAAAGATTTGAACGTTGTACCGGTATTCTCTGATTTTCTATACTTTTATTGCTATTACTAAATCTGTCATTTAAAATATAAATAGAATATTATTCAATATCCTTCTATGCTAATAATTTCCTTTTTATAAACTGTTTATTTATTCAATTTTAGGAAGGTCATAAAATGATTAGTGCAGCTATTCATATAGCTAATCGTTTACCTGATATAGGAATTCAATTATGGGCAACTGCTTTACTTAAAGGTGTGGCTAATCTACGTGGTGATACACAAGAAGAAACTCGTTGGTTTACTGAACATGATCGTTTTTCAAAAATTGTAATCCATGAACATATGCGTGCTATTTCTGCCCCGGAACATTCACTTATTGAGGTAAATTGTTTTTATGTAGTTTGTTTGTTTAATTAAGTATACAGTATGACAGACAAATTTGAATGATTCGTTCGTTTTTAGTTAATCAGAAAGTAGGTTCTAAGAAAGAATAGTTTATAATAGTGAATCTGTTAAGGTTAGTAAGAGGTCCTTATGTATTGAGATTAAAGTGAGTCTAATAGAGGGACTTATTCATATGACTTCATGTTAATCAACTTTGTAGACAGTGAATGCAAATCTTGACCAATAGCGTGCGACCGTCAGCATCTCTTACTTATCACTTGACTTGTGCCTGATTGACCCAGTGTATCATTGTCATCTTGATTTCTGAGCGTACATATTTGAAGTATTGGAAATATTACAGTGGTTCTACTTCACTTATATCAGTTATTTTGGAGATACACCGGTTACAGGAATTTCTTGGGGGCAGTTCATTATCATTATATTAATGACCAATGACAATTGGATTAAATAAAAACTTCAATATGATTATTCCTAAATGTATGTTTAAGTAATGAAGTTAATTTGGATATACAATAGCATTAAACAGAATCAAAATAAGGATTCAAAGGAACACGACTCGAGTGAAGTAATAGTAGTATCAGATTATTACCAGAATTGGAGTTCTTATTACTTGAATTAGATTTTTATCGACAGTGGCACTTAGAATCACTAGTAACTGTATTTGAATGAATGAAATCCAGAATTGGATCTCCATTGTATTAAAATAAATTCAAACCATTTGGAGTGTCATTCAGTCAACGTGTCTCAATTATTTATAGACCAATATAATAATGTAATATAATCAGTAGATAAATGGATAGATAGGCAACCAAACAGAAGCGTATTAGAAATATTCGCATATTAAATATTCCGATTAATCACGCAATTGAACACAAGGATTGTAATAGTCTATTTGACACTCATATGCCCTGTGTCAGGTGTTATATTCTAAGATGGATTTTCAATTGTGAAGGGCAGACTAGAGAAACCCAGGCTGGTTTTCGACCTGGACGTGGTTGTATAGACCAGATATTCACACTATGTCAGGTTATAGAACATAGACACACATTCAGACTTTATGACAGTGAAACATGACCGATAAGAGTAGAGGATATTTGTAGGCTACTAGTTATCGATCTTCGAAGCATTGCTCGTATATATTGGGACAACCGAGTAAGTAATGCAGTTGTTAGGAAACGGGTACTAGGTAAGGATAGCAAATCGCTTTATGAAGCAGTGAAACTTCATCAGTTGAGATGGCTGGGGAACGTGTTACGAATGCCCCGATGTGCAATGTTTCATGGTGTAGGAGTAGGTTGGAAGAAAGCTAGGGGCGGCCAGACCAAAACGTGGCACAAATCCATGAAATCACTGACAATTAGACTGAGTCATGTTGGTAGGTGTAGACTACCTGGTTGGGATTCGCGAGATGACAGCAATCGATGGTTAGAGACCTTGAATGACATGGCTCAAAATCGTTTGCAATGGTGCAGGTGTATCCACTCTTTGTGTTCTACCAACTTCTAATCTTCTGAATTCTTCATGTCCATTTCTTTTTTCTCTTTCTAAATTTATTTCTTTGGATTGTACTCCTTGAATAACATCTTCAAACCCTAATCTTTCGAATTACTCTTACTACTTCTACCACTATGGGATTTAAATCGGCAACTGCATCTCTGTGTTAATGTGGTATAGCAACTCGAACTGATGTACGTACGTACGAAGTTCTACGTTGTGACTGACTGATTTACCATATCTGTATTAAAGACCATACAGTACTTAACTAGCAATGTGATTTTTCTCAGTCACTATAAAATGAGTGAAAATCGAGTCACTTCTTATTATATTTGTTTTCACGTTTTCTTAGCATTATTTCTTGTCCACTGTCGCATAGAATAGTTTTCATCGATAAACCTTTGTTTTGTAAATACGTGATTAAATCATCTTCGAAATAAGGTTTAATCTAATCAGATAGTCAATATTCTTTCGTCAATTATACCTCCACAGTCTTGAAATTGTTGTATAAAACGCGACTTATTCTCTCTTATACTTTGGGCTTACTATTTTTTACACCATTGTTAAAGTAAAAATTAGCTGATAGCCAATCTTCTATATCAGTGAAGCATAACTATTTACTTATTTATCTAGTTGAACACATAAATATCGGCACAAGGGGGCACCAAATATGTATGCGCCACACAAAAAATTGTCATCCCATTTAATTGTGTGGGGGCTATGATACTGTCCGGGTGCCAAAATTGAAGCAGGTGGTTTTCTTAAGGGGCCACACCCTGAGCCTTTGACCTAAAGGCCTAATCCACAAGACAGTGGAGCATCGTAATGAGATGCAGTCCCATGGTAGCCGGTGACCAACGATTGATTCATACGCCATTTGTTCCCTCAGAATACTGGAGTCCATGTGCACCATTGTCTTAGAATCAGGGTTTTTCAACTCACATAGGTAGACACACCGTGTCCACCAACCCGGTTAAAGTGTTGGACATTCACTTTTCGTCCTCTCAATTTCGTAAACAACAGTAATGCCACGAGAAGGCAATGAGTAGAACTTCCATGGTAGAGGCTATATATTCACTGGCCATGTGGGAGCATTTCGAGGAAGAGGGCGAACCCTCCTCACTCTCGGCCGTACCAGGACATTTGGGGCGAACCATAACTACAGTATATCTCTTCCTGTCTTATACATATTTTAAAATTTATTCAGTGAATCTCAATTTGTATTGTTTTTTTTACATTTCTAGTGGTTAGATGGACCATTACCTGAACTCCAACCACCGCATACAGTTGCATCAACTTCAGATACTAATTTATTATAATTCATCATTTCTATCAATATCAATCATTGATCTCCTTATTACAAAAAAGCATTGTCATTTTTTTTGGTTTGATAATGATGCTATATTCCTTAATTCATTCTTCATCATAACTATCTGTTCTCCTTTTTTTTTCTTTTCTCCCCCCCCAAATGACATCGAAATAAGTCTAGTTTTTTTTAAAATAGAAATTCTGTTTCATTCAATATTCAAATTGTATTTATTATTATTATACTACTAACTATAGTCTTGTTAGTAGTCATGATTAGAATTTTCTCTTTCTCTCTTGTACAAAAAAAACAAACAAGCAAACATTTAAATTGTTTTTATCTTCACAATATTTTCCCCTTGTCACTTAGCAACAAGGACAACAACAACATCAAGAAGTGTATTTATATGATCAATAAGCCATTAACTTTTTTGTTTTAATTTTGTTTTGTTTTAATGTTTGATTTATATATATATAATCTTTTTCATTTAATAATACAAACTACTATTTGAATTTAAGTAGTTTTTGTGAAAAAAGAAAAAAATATTCAATTGAAAATAAAAGTAAACTTTGAATTGCTAGTTTTTTTTGTTATTCGTTATATGTTATAATGGTTGAGTTGTGATATGCTTGAATGTTAATTACGATTTCTCCTTACTCGGTCAACGGAATGAAGGTCAATGAAATAGTGACACGATCGGCTATTCTAATCTGTTGTCCTAGGGTCCGCTAACTATAGTGAGAAGTCTAAGACGGAAGTGAGGGGAAATATATTCCGTAAGCAGTCAGAAGCACAAGCAATCACAACAGGAAGAAATCAAACATATATATACAGCATAAAACTGTCCGTGGGAAACGTTACAGAATAGTATACTAAAAGATACAACGGACCAATAGCTTGTAAGATTTTCCCAAGTGGGAAATACGACGTGAAGGTGTAAAGAGCACTTTTGGCACAAAATCAGCGAAATTCAAAATTTCGAAATAAAATTACAAAAAATAATTAATTTACCAAGTGATTTATAGGGATCTGACATCCCCAGCAAACTGTATAAATTTTGTGCTCATCTTTTAATCATCTCTGTATAGTTTAATCATTAACTACGAAAGGGGTTTTTATGTGGATATTATTGTAATGTAATAGTTGAAATCATGAGTCATTTGAAGCTAGATCACCATGAAAAACCTCGAAGCACTGGACGACCGTTTCGTCCTACTGTGGGACTCCTCAGCAGTGCGCATCCACGATCCCGCACTCGCGACATTCCATCCCAGAACCTACCAGCCTCGCACCAGAGCACTTAACCGATAGACTATTGATTAAGTCAATATCCTGAAATAACAGAGAAAGCACCAATCCAATCACATTTGATAGAGAAGCTCTGAAGGATGTGAAGTTTTTCGCGTACCTGAGCAGCATCATCGATAAACAAGGAGGATCTGATGCAGACGTAAAGGCAAGGGTTGGCACTTAACCGATAGTCTATCGGTTGACTCATGACTTCAACTATGAAAAAAATGATTATAATTATATAAAAGCACTTATCAGTGAGATTGTCAGTGATGAGTTCAAGTTACTGATAAGTTTTCGAAGCATAATGTTATAATTTTCGGTAGAATATAATGAGGGAGAGTTCGATTAACACTTCACTGACTTATTTCTTCGTAGAAGAATTCAGCAAATCTTGTTTGTTCGGAATTTGTCATAGGAAGTTATAGAATAAGAGTCAAATGAATAGAGATTTAGCTAGGTACTTGCATGATTCACGGAAAATGAAGTCAATAGTTAGGAAACAGGCATGTTATATTTGTGCTGTAAAGTTCTAGGGTCCCTATTCTCTTGACTATGATTTGTGTAACGATCGTTCAAGTGCCCTCTAGTATGAATATAGTTGTAATACTTATGATGAAAGTTATCAATCTCAAGATGAATATTTAGAAAAACACTAAAAAGCATTGTCATCACTTGAAGGAACATGGAAACTATACATTTAAATATCTGAATCACAAACAATAAAGAACAGGTGATCGCTCTCCTGAAACCTCCCATAATAATGTTTCTAAGAGAAAGAAAAAGCAGAAGAAGTGTTGGTGCAGTCATAGTAATGTTCATATTTCTAGTTGCCACTTTCTGAATATCATTCCTTTTAAATTTCGATCCAGTCTTATGTTAAAGTTACCAAAATATCACAACTTTAAGAAGGAAATTTTAAACGTTCACAAGACATGTGAAATCAAAATTTCTCGCCCAATATCCATTGAACTTGATTCTAAACAGTCAACTATGAAATGCTTCGATGATTCAATTAAATCTAATTCTTCTTTAATTTTATTAGATAAGATAGTTTGACCATCAAAGCCAATCAAAAAAGTTGCCAAGTTGATTACCATTAAACAAAAACATACAATATAAAATAATATTAGAAATGTTATCATACGTTATATAAATCACGTACGAAAAATCTATTCATTTAAACATATGAATATTGGTACAAAGGGGCACCAGATACATATGCGTCACACAAACCTTATTTGATCTGCGTGAGGTCTGCCTGGAAGCTCAAACCGAAACAAGTGGTTTTCTTAGGGTGCCAAACTCGGAGCCTTCGACCTAAAGATCTGATCCACAAGGCACATTTTTAATTTATTTTTAAAAGAAAAAAAACTGAAGTATATTTAATAATTTGTTTTAGATTTTTATGGAATTTAATCATATTACTACTCCATTAATAGCATTCACTCACTCCTGTTATCACTCGTGGGAGCAAAGACTCCCCACTAGCATTCTCCAGTTTTTTCTACTTGCTATTCATCGTTGTCATGTCTACTTCTAATTCTTGATGCAATGTGTTCTTAGGCCTTCCTCTTTTCCGTTCACGTTCACGACTCGAAGTTAGCGCTTGTCTCGTGATGCAGTTTAGTGATTTCCACGATGCATTTCCTATCCACTCCCAACATCTTTTCCTAATTTCTTCTTCAGGTGGAAGTTGGTTTGCTCTCTCCAACAGCAGGCTGTTCCTAATGGTATCCGGGCAATGAACATTGAGTATCTTATATAGACAATTGTTTACTAATACTTGTAGATTTTTGAGGATGGTTGTGGTCATTCTGGAAGTTTCAGCTCCATACAGTAGATCTGTCTTGATGTTCTTATTGAAGATTGTGACTTCGAGATTGGTTGACAGTTGTTATGAGTCCCATATGCTCTTCAACTGTAGGAATGCTATTCTTGCTTTGCCAATCGTTGCCTTTATGTCTGCACCAGACCCTCCTTGTGTATCGATGATGCTGCTCAGGTAAGTGGAGGACTCCACATCCTCCAGAGCTCCATCAAGTGTGATTGGATTGGTGCTTTCCACGTTGTATTTCAGGATCTTGACTTTTCCCTCCTTCTTTAATCCTTCTAGGGTTACTGCCTGTTCGAAGCGCATATAAAAGAGGGTTGTGGATCGGGATAGCAAAATCAACGATATTTTATTAAAAAAAATATATCGTACTGTATATAATGGATGCAAAAAGAAATTAACTATAGGATTGTTTTATGCATCTTAATTATTTTTACTACTAATTGCACTAAATGTTTACTGTGTAGCCATTTGATTTTATCAAAACAGTTTTATGTTATTGTACTGGTCGATAAAGTTATCTCGGATAAGAGGAACATAGAGGTGTTACCATGTTTGACAGCAATTGTAGACAGAGTTGTATAGTAAATGTATGATAGCATTTAAAGAGAATTAGAGGGAGGGAGGATTCTCTCCACACTTTTGTATTAGGATATTTATAAACATAATTATTACTGTGCAACCACAACAAGTATGTAGGTTGAAAATGTAAATCATTAGATGTTTAACTCAGTGGTTTAAAGGTTAAGCCCTTCAGTCATGGCTTGAAGATCCTGTTATATTCTAGCAAAGACATGAGTACGGGTAACTTTCGGGACCTATTAATGGATTATTATTTTAAATATATTCTTAATGTTTAACTATTGAGTAACTGGTTTATGTATACCTACAATCATCTTATTATAAGCTTCACTTTGACTCATAAATTATTACTGTACGATTTACTGTTCCCAAATTATATTCAGTTTATTGATTATTGTATCCCACATTCACAGTCACATTTGGCTTGATCTTGTACAAATATTATTTTCTATTTTATGGTGTGATGCGGTCTGTCTGTTCGGTATATAAACTGAGTATGCTTGAAATAAATGATTCGCATGGGTTCGTATGGCAGGAGGTGTAATTGGTGTTCTCACTCAATTGGAAGGTCTAGGCGGACAAGGGACCAATGAAGATGCTAGACTGCTCGTACTTGTCGAACGTCATTGATTTGTCACAGTGTTAAAATTAAGCACGTCGCATTTCGATTGGTGAATAAATCACGTGATAAAATGTCGGACATAAAATCAACAACGAGTTAGCATACGTCCTTTCATTTTTTATAAAGTCATAACAGATCCTATGTTAGATTCCCAGTGCGTTTGTATATGCACACTGATAGGGAGTCCCATACTAGGATAAATCTGTCAAACCTTCCTTGTTTTTAATGATTATCTATACTATACCTATACTAATAATAAGTATGTATTTGGGGTTTATTAGTGTAAACTAAAGTTTACAAAAAAAAACTCCGGAAGATAATCTACATCACTGTCATGTAGGAAGTTATAAGTTAATTTTTATTGATTTCCTTAGGAAACCGATTTTTCGCATATATAATTCAAATTATATTACATTTTTATGCTTGTTGCTATGACAAATCTCAAGTGAATTTAGCATTACTTTTAATTTATTGTCTGCAACCTTCTATTTTTCTAGAATCGATTATATGCACACATGTTTAGTTAAATAAGACTTAATATTACTATTCTAGTTGTTAATGTGGTGTTTGCCCCCAAATGCCCTGGTACGGCCGACAGCGGGGAGAGTACACTCTCCCCCTTGAAATGCTCTCACATGACCACGCGTATATACTCTCTGCCAGGGAAATCCTACTCACTGTCTTCTCATGGCGGAAAAGAAAATGTTCGGCGCTCAAACCTGGTTGGTGGACACAGAAAGTCCACCTAGGGGAGTTGGAAAACCCTGATTCCAAACCAATGGTGTACATAGGCTCCAGTATCCTGACGGAACAAATGGCGTACGAATCAATTGTTGATCACCGGCTACCATGGGATTGCATCTCCTCATGATGCTCCATTGCCTTGTGGATCAGACCTTTAGGTCAAAAGCTCCGTGTGTGGTCCCCTAATAAAACCACCTGCTTCGGTTTGAGCACCTGGGCAGTATCACAGCCATCACACAAATCGAATGAGATTTGTGCGGCGCATATGTATCTGGTGCCCCTTTTGTACCCATATTTATGCGTTCAAATAAATAATTATGGTGTTTAAATGTATATCAGGTTGAAAGACAATCAGAACTATAAACTTCAAAATTGATGCCTTTTGATAATACAGTGAATTACTCTCACCTTCAGAGTCTTCAACAATGAACACAAATTCTTATCATTTAACAACATACTAAGGAAGAATATATATATTTATATATATTCTTCAATCATAT